CCCCCCCCCCCCCCCCCCCTCTCTCCGTTCCCCTACACCTCCACACCTTTGCTGCGGTCCTCGCATCCGACCGACCCATCTACCCCAGCATCGATTGCTGTGCACGAGGATCGGTCTTTATGCGACCAAAGGGGGTGATCCAGGAGTGGGACGGGGTGCAGCGGTTCGTCTCGTACCTAAACCCCACCCCCTGGTCCTGGGACAGGTTACACGTATAGGAGGGGGAAATTACTTGGACAGGTTGGGGCTGTTTACTTGAGCGCCGACTCTCGACCACTCAAATTCCAAGTAATTTCCCTCAGTTGTCCAAGTACTGCATTTACAGTCGTGCAGTACTTGGATTTTCCCGAGCAAAGAAGACCCAATGTTGTTTACTTGAATAATATCTGTCTTTTTACTCGGATCAGTGGGGATTACTTGGATGGGTGAAGGGACGATACTTGGATTTTCGATTTCTTGTGTGCGTCATCTGCATAACATGTCAACAACTCAACGGCAGCATCGCTTCTGTATAGCCACTGTAGCCACAGTACGTGTATGTGGAATTTTCTATGACGTTTGTAATAAAACAACGCACGTTTTTCTCACGTAAATCCAGAGCTCCCCCAGATCCTCTTTTCCAGGTGAATTTGCCAGCAAAATGAAATACGACACAGCCGCCAAATGGAAGTACAATAAACCGATTGTGTTTTGTGGTACCATTCATGTCCCACACACCCACACGCAGCAGTCGCACACACCAATTGCAGCTGGTGCGCACACCACACGCAGTCCCCATTCAAACCACGCGTAGTCCCCTGTACAGGTACGGCGCCCTGTGCCGCACACAGACGCCGCACACCACCGCACCCCACCCTCCCGCACTGATCATAGCCGTACGTGATTGTAGACAGCATTAGACAGTTGCGATACTCGCATCGCTGACATTCATAATCACATGAATGTCAGCGATGCGAGCAACACAGCTAACGTGATATGGTGCAATTTCTTACGCCCAACCACCGCTCAGTGGTTGCGCACAAGAAATAAGTGAGATATATCGACGTTGCAAGCGCGGCGCGGCCCATTGAGTACGGCTACGATAAGTTACGATAGGCGGCAAATTTGAATTCACGTCACTTGCTAGTGGCAGTGAATTAGGCGGCGGAGGGGTACGGAAGTGGTCCAGTCCACGTCATTGGTGTCCTGACCTGGGCAGGACGGGGAGGGAAAAGAGGGAAGAGGAACAGCGAAATGCAGTGGTAATTGGAAATGAGGGATGTACTAGTTCACTCTATCTCAAGAACAGCGAAAGCTTAGAAGCTGAAGTTGTCCTGGTCAATGTACGGGGTAGCGATGTGCCGTTAATTCGTCGATTCGCACAAATGATCAAATCCCGTCCTCAGCTGAATGGTGGCATAATGTGGCGCCCCCTTCTTTCTTCCCTATTCCCCTTCTATGAGAGACGGTACTTCAAAGTTTGATGCAAAAATGCATGATCGCACCGGCTCGGCTGTTGTGTTCCAGCCTGGGTTTGAATGATGCTTGTGGTACGAGGCAAAGCGATTCGTTGGTGCTAAAATGCTATTTACTTCCTACCACTGAACCGCATCCAGGTATTCTTTTGCGGAAGCATTCCATGAAGAGCCAGTGCTTTACTTTTACTATTAAGAGAAAAAAGAATTAGCTAGTAATGCTAATAATGTTTTTTTCAGAAGTAATTGCAAATTAATTTACTTTTTTAAATTATCAACTTTTTCAGAAGTAATTGCAGTTACGGTGGCATGTGGTGACTGGGAGTGGTGGAAGTAGAGGGAGAAAAGAGGAATGGGAAGTGTGGGAGAATTCGTAGTCAGCTTCAATTTTTCGGCTGTAATTACAAATGTGCTCCCTAACTTGTACGTGTGTTAGTGTGCATGCAAGAAAATTTATTTCTTTATTTCTTCGATGATTTATCGGCTTGATAAATTAATTTACTTTTTTAAATTATTAAGTACTCCATTTTAATCGATGGTGCATCCCGGCTTTGCTTTTCTGCACAACACAAAGCAGGTGTGTACTGCAGGTCCAACGAACACTTTCTCGGTTCCGCCGTAACCGACCGTTGCGCGCTCGTTGCGAATGTCGGCCTGCAATTCCAAACCGATGATCTTTTAGGAAGTGAGCAACTACATCATCAAAGAGATCCGGTTAAGCTGTTTGTACTACATGATCTTTTGCATTTCATAAATTAGAGACCGCAAAAACGACTTGATTCTTTCGAACTCCGTTAGTTTACCTTTCCGAGAATTTCTTTGCCATCAACGATCAGTACAGCCGGTGAAATGTTGCCCTTGTGGTGGTCCACGTGCACTGGGATCCACTCCTTCTCACCAAACACAGCCGCTTCTTTAAATGGTTTCCAGGCGTAATCAAAGCCACGTATCGCTTCTGGGAGTTCGTGCAGAATCTGTATTGAACCAATATTGCTGCGATATTCGTGACCGCCCCAACCGAAGCAGGCCGAAATTTTGCCATTATCGTTCCAAATGCGACCCATAACCGGCTCACCAGACTGATACCAGAGTGCCACATACTGATCCGGACTCTCTCCTGGCAGCGTATCGAGCGATCTAAAAAAAGCTTTGATTTTTCGCGATATCCAAGAAAAAAAAAAGGTTTTTGGCGACTTTTTTGATGAACAAAACGCCAAATAATCCTAAAACGTACTTGTCCAGGGCGCGTACTGGTTTTCCAGTGGCAGGCCAAGGATCGCCGAAACGGAAATCGGTCCATTCGTTGAGTGTTACACGGACAACTGGCTTTGGTGGCCCTGCGCTGCATTCAGCGCAGTCGCAATGTGGCGGTCCGCCTTTCAGCTCGCGCACGATGATAAGCATATCACTAAGCGCGCCACCCGATAATTCCTCCACTCTTCCATCGTGAGAAAAGCGAGCTGCAGGTATTCAAGATTTTTAAATTGGTGTGTCGTTCACAGCAACAGTTTCTTTGCATCGCTGATACTGGATGATAGTATCGGCTAATTTTTAACGGATTCTATGCTCACAGACCTTCTTTGGAGAAAACACATCACTTCTGTGTACAAACTTTTTTTTTAAAATAAATAACGGCTTGCACCAGAGCAGCCGATGCCATCATGCGTTTAGTGCATTTCCGTCCACCGAACGGTTGCCTGTTAATGGTTTTCACTGCTTTGCACTTCGATCAGTACAAAAAGTTGAAATGTTGTCTGTTTTATAAGTTGTGGAATTTTCCACTAAAAATTTCGCGCACCGGCACGTGAAAGCTGAATTTGAAACCTCGACGGTCTTTTCGCAATTTCGGTCTCCTAATTTTCTGGCTTCCAAGTGATTTTTGCGACAAAACTTTCACGTTTTCGTATGTGAGAGCTCGGCATACTTAGGAAATGAATTCGAGTTTGTGAAGCTCTTGCTTAGGCAGGAAACATCCTCCTGAAAATTTCAGCCTCCTAGCTCTTCTGACTTTCGAAATAATGATTTCTCCTGCCCAAACTTCCACGAAATGTTGAAAATTAACAGAATCGTATGTGGGCAGGGGATGCTACGCAAAAACTCTACTTTCTAACTAATGCAGTTCACGAGATAATATTAAATCCCCTACCAGAACTTTCACGGGGCCGTACATGGTGCCCAGACGTGCATTGAGGCTGAGTCTAAATTTGGTAATCATCCTAAAATTTCAGATTCCCGATTTTCGCGGTTCCTGAGATAATGATTTTCCCCCTGAAACTTTCACAA